CTCAAGCATCCAAGATCTAATCTTATATGCGCATACATATTAATCTTTTTTTAATCTGTTCACAGCATTATATTATCCTGAAATTGGAATGCACAAAAATCATTTCAAATTCCAATTCTAAAACGCCTCTGTACTAACTACAAACTTCTCGAAGATTTTAGTATCCTTTCAAGTGCATTTTCCCTACCCAACAGTAGGAATTTGCGTTTAAGGCATGTATATAGATCTAACACACGATCGCTCAAAAATCACCTCAATACCCCACACTTCACACGGCAGCATAGATTGAGAAATTTCACATATCACCCAATCAATCAATCCTCCCCTACTCCCACCTGAAGAACTTCTGAATTGTCACCCATAACAAAATAAAACTAAAAAATGCAAAAATTCTCCACCATATCTAATTGCATGTACAATGTCCTCAATGCAAACTCATTCATAATAATCAAAGCCCATATTTCCACTACAAACCGCACTCATAGCCTAAAAAACCCAAAAATTTTTAATTAAATTCAAAATCCGATATCATTATACCTTATTTTTTTCATTTCTGGTAGCCCCCGCCAATGGCATTGTCATCCTCCACAACTTTTGCAGTCAAATAAGGCCTGGGGAAATCACTGGTATCAAAAGTCTTCTCCTTCATCATCTTTTCCACATCAGCCTTCTTCAAAACGGTGCGTTTTATAGGTGGGCGGTTGCGGCGCTGATCGCAGGAGTAGTACTTGATATCATAAACAGTCTCGGGAAGGGATGTGGGGACGATGGCCTTCTCGGGGACAGTGGCGGGGCAGAAGACCCGGTACTCGGTGGCCTTGGGCACCGCCAACCTGTACTCCGGATCGGTGATTTCCCACGGCTTCTTTATGTACCGCCGGAGAGTTTGAACTCTGGATTTTGCTGCGGAGGCCGTTTGGAAAATTGAAGAATAAGATTTGAGGAAATCGGGCGAATTAATTTGGGAGTACGAGAAGGGACAAACGGCATAGGCTCTAAATAAGAGGAAATGGTGGAAAATAGCCGCAACAAAAAAAAACAAAAAAACAAAAAAAAAGGACATTTTTTCAAAATCATCGTTGACAGTGTTTAAAAAAAATAAAAAATCTGTACAAATCTTAAAAACAATGAAAATTCAATATTGTCCCTAGTAAATCACTCTCAAACTGACGTTTAAAAAAAAAAAAGGAGAAGAAATATTGTTGGAAATAATGATAGAAATATTTGTAGATTATGTAAAATTATTGAAAATGATATTTGTTGAGATGTTTTTGGGCAAAAATGACGATCCACGACACCTAGACAGGAGAAGAAAGGGAGGAGAGGACGGCAAGACGGTTGGACGGCCCAGACCATCTGTTGGGCTATCTTTCCAAGACGGCAGCTAGGCTTCCCTCCATTTTTTTTTGGTTGTATTCCATAAATAATTTAAATACACAAAAATAAATAATGAATATTTAAATAATAAATAAATGATGAATAAAAATGTAAATAATAAATAAATATTAATAATCAAAATATGTAACTAAAATTTAATCGAAATAAATTTTTAACATTTAAAATAAATAATTAAATATTTACGTTTACTTGGTTAATAAATAATTTAAATAATCAATCAATATAAATAATTAAATTAAATAATGTAAATGAATAATTGAACCAAATAATGAAAAACTATTGAAATAAATAATTAATTTAAATGCACAAAAATAAATAATGAACATTTAAATAATAATTAGACCTACAAGAAAAAGATGTATTCCATCAAGGATTTTTAGGAATATTACCAAAAGTGAATAAAACAATTATAAGTTTGAATTATAAAGAAATATCTATCAACATAGAAGATACCATAGGAAAAGCAAGAGTTCCTATAATTACAAAGGAATGGGTAAAACAAAAGTTATCCAAAACCCAGAAAATATAAGAAACAAATTAAAATGTATTGAATTAGGAGGAGTCCAGATAATGGTAAAAAGATTCTTTAGAGAAGGTATGAATATACCAATAGAAATATATTGTATGGATAATGGAATCTTACAAGATCCTATAGATACTCTATTAGGAACAGTTGTAGAAAACTTAGTCTACCAGAAAATAATATTTACAGTAAAACCAAATTACGCAATATCATTAAATGATGAAAATATTGACCAAAGCTTCAATCTATACTATAGAATTGGAAACTTGAAAATGTTACGAAGAAGTAAGGCTATTAGTATAAGCATAAAATCAATTTTTGCTTTTAGTACTAGCCATCATAACAATCTAAGGAAAATAACTGATAATATTATCATACATAAAGATTTTGAGGAATTAGCACAATATATACCTCCTAGAAAATATCAAGAACATGAAGTTACTATACCAGAACAGATAATGCTTGATTTTCATAAACAAGCTAGAGAAATTAATTCTGAAGGAAAATTAATAAGAAGAAACAGTGTCAGCTTAGAAGGAGAAAATCTTATTGCAAGATTTCCCTCTAGACAAGACTCTAGAATAAGCAGACTTAAGAATTTAGGTATTGCTGAACCATCAAGTTCGCAATATTACATTAAGACAAGATATGTAAATCAAGAAGGATACAAGAAGAATCTTCTTGTCCTCATAGATACTGGAGCAGATAAAAGTCATGTAAATGCTAAATTTATTAGTCATTTAATAGACTTTGAAATATCAGAACCATATATATTTAAGGATTATTTAGGAAATAATCTTGAAATCAGAAAATATGTTAAGTTCCCTTTTATACTTATAGGAGAGGATCAGAGAAAATATACTAAAGAAGTAATTATATATAAAGATGAATTATATGGAGTAGATCGTTTACTTATTCTACTAGGAATGAACTTTCTTGAAAAATATAGTCTTTACAAAATCTGCCAAGGATATTTAAAAATAACAGTTGATGATAACCCAATCATCATATCAAGAATAGATAAAAATATGAAATCATTGTTATCATGGAAAGAGTAATAAGTACTAATACCATGAGTCCATATATTGAAATTATACTCAATATAAAAAGTTATTGTAGAATTAAATTTCATGCTTGCTTAGATACAGGAAGTACAATAAGCTTATACTTACCAAATGTACTACCATCTGAATACTGGATATACAATTCGAAGAAGATAGTCACTATTACAACAGCAGGAGGAAATAAGGTAATATACAGCAAATATGCTACTAAAGTACATTTTCTAATTTCCTTTAGGGAAGTATTTGTTGATACAATATATATGTCAACCACAATTGGATGTGATATTTTATTAGAACAAAATTTCCTACTAAAATATGACCATTTACACAATATATTGATAAGTATATGTTCACAACACATTGTGTACATAAAATATTTACACCAAAAATAAATAAAGCTGTTACAATAGCATACACAGATATAAACCATCAGAGTTCCTCAACCCAGCGTGGTGGATGTTGGAGTACAGAAAAATTTAAACCAGTTACAGTCTTAAAAATGACAACAGAAAATAGGATTGAAAAACTGAAAAAAGAAATTTTTGAAACATATTCTGAAAATCCATTAGAAAAATGGAATACAGACAGAGTTAAGGCAAAGATAGAATTAACCAATCCAGACACTATTGTTAAAGTCAAACCCATGAAATATAGTGTTGATGATCAAAAATAATTTAAAAATCAGATAAAAGAATTGCTAGAAGCCAAATTAATTAGGTCTAGTAAAAGCTCACATAGCAGCCCAACCTTTATGGTTAGAAAACATAGTGAGATAAAAAGAGGAAAAGCCAGAATGGTAATAAATTACAAAAAATTAAATGAAGTAACTAAATTTGATGGATATTACTTGCCAAATAAGGATACCCTTATTAAACAAGTACAGAACAAAAAGATATTTTCAAAATTTGATTGTAAGTCAGGGTTTTGTCAAATCATGCTTACAGAAGAAAGTAAACCATTAATTGCATTTAGTATACCCAATCTTTTAGGACAATATGAATGGAATGTAATGCCATTTGGGTTGAAAAATGCACCACAGATATTCCAAATAAGAATGGATGAAGTAATTAAACCAATTACTCATTTCTGTATGCATATGTAGATGATTTACTTATTCATTCAAATAATATTGATGAACATATTGAGCATCTTGAGAAATTTTGTTATATTATGAAAAAACATGGTATTACTCTTTCTCAAAAGAAAGCTGAGATAGATAGAACATAAATTGAATTTTTAGGATTATTTATAAAAGAAGGAGAATTGCAATTGTAATCCCATATTGGAGAAAAATTTCAAGAATTTCCTGAAGAAATCAAAGATAAAAAACAATTACAAAGCTTTCTTTGTATATTAAATTATGCTGAAAGATTTATTGAAAATTATGCCAAATTAAAAAATTATTTTCTTCCAAAATTAAGAAAGAATATAATGTGGTCTTGGGAAGAAAAAGATTGTGAAAATATAAGAAAAGTAAAAGAAGGATTAAAGATATTGTCCAAACTTGTAATACCACGAGAAGAAGATTTCTTTATCCTGAAAACTGATGCTTCAGATTATTACTGGGGAGCAGTGTTAAAGGTAAAAAAGAATCATAAAGAATATAAATGTAAAAATGATTGTTCTTGTCTTGAAATACTTGCAGGTTATACATCAGGAACATTCAAAGAAATTGAAACAAGATATGAGACAAACAGAAAAGAACTCATTGCTGTAAAAAGAGGAGTTCAAAAATATGAAGATTATTTATTATCAAAGAAGTTCTTGATTAGAACTAATAATAACCAAGTTAAAGCGTTCCTGAAAAATAATGTTGATCCATCTATTGCTAATAGATATATTATTAGAATACAAATTTGATTTTCATATTTCAAATTTGATATTGAATACATAAAAGGTAAAACTAACTTTCTTCCTGATTATCTTTGCAGGGATGGAGCTAGAACAACTAAGGACGAAAGTCCAGATACTTGAAATAAAAGTTTCCTATTTGGAAACACAAATTCAAAATATCCAAGATAGCCTTCGAGGCAAAAATATAGCCCTTGAGGCAGAAGCTACTTGTACCAAGACTAGTATCCCTTTGCATGGACTTGTGAATACTAGCGCTCTCCCCGAGAATAAAGGGAAAGAAAAGAAGGTAATAGGAACTCCTTCACAGGGAAAACTTGAACCTATTACTGGTAATAAAGATATTCAAGATATCAAAAAAGAAGGTAGCTCTTCACAGAGTCAAACTCAATTTAAACTTTCTATTGAAAGGATAGATTCAAAAGATATTGTCAAGATATGCCATGAAGCAAAAATTCCCAGAAAAGATAACTATGAAGAAGTTACACTCTTTATTGTTATTTTTAATATTTTATCAGATTGGTATCTGGAGATTGGAAAGTGGATGAAGACTCTCCACTATTCAAAATACAACAAGATAAATTTTTATCCAGGAGCACAATCCAACTGGGTTCGAAATTGTTTTGAGATAGGAAATATACTCCGTATATATCCTATTAAAGACCTCAAAGAAATAGCTCAGCTTTCAGCAAACATCAGGAAAGCTGTTAAAAGTTATACTGAAGTTGTCAAGACGACAAATATATATATATTAGATTCCATTCAGCAACAATGGAATGGGATCCTGTTCTTGAATATATGCATCCATCGTTCTATGTGATCAAAATAGGACTTACAAATCAACATTTTTTACCAACCAATCAAAAGGTTGTTAAAAATGGATATCAAGATATTCTAAATATGATGCCCTACAGAAGAGCAAAAGGATACAAAGAGATATTTGAACATGTAACTTAAATAATTACTGAGAAAGAAAAAAATGGGATCATATTATATATTCTAATGCAAGGATGGCAACCAAAGAAGAAGATATTTATTATCTCGACCATTTATTATCTGCAATTATTTCCAACCATGTGCATGGATCAGAAGATATGGCTAAGAAATTATGCAAATTACTTTGGAATTACAGTGATCACCTGTGTAGTTGAAGATATGAGTCAAGCATCCCTTAATGATGAAGAATTCCCTACAGAATTCTTTGATTCAAAAATGGAAAAATGATGGTGACTAAAAGTAGCCCTTTATCACTACTTTAATAAATAAATTTATTAAAGAAAAACTGTGACTACTAAAAGACAGAAGATAATACAAGAAAAGTCTCCATAATTGTGACTACTCCCCACCAATTATCACAAGTGGTAGACAAACTCAAAAGATAAGGCATATAATTTCAAATGGAGGGATCCACCTAGCAAGAAGATAATGAAGAGTTCAGTGGAGATAAGATGGCCTAGCTACTCAACAAAGAAAGGTGGAAAACACCTGTCAAGATAAGATTCCCAAAGGCTTCTATAAAAAGAGGCAAGGAGGAAGAAGGAAGATATCTCGGAATAACTTATCTCTTAAACACTTGGAGGAAACACATGTTAGAGATATATCTTTTGTAATCTGTATACACCACTTGTATTCAGAAAAATATTAGGGAGCTTGAAGATAGGAAAGCGTGTAATAAGGTAATCACTTATGGAGTTCTAAACTTCATAAGGTGAGTATCAAAGGTATGTAAATATAGTTTGTAAACATATACAATTTCAGTTATGAATATCAAAGTAAAGTTTGTTATGTTCAGCAAAGTTTTCATAAAAGGATTTCGTTAAATTTCTCATGATTCCTTGGCAGTACAGATAGATATTTAAAAAGATTTTCAAAACATTGATTTTGAATGGATGTTAGCCATGCCAAAGTACCCATCTTTGATGAATGGTTTAGGGGAAAAAGGCAATTTTCTAACAAAATTATAGCACCTTGTGTGTGAGTTATCTTTTAAAATTTCGTTCTAAGTAAGAACTTGATTCTGAAAAGAGTTTGGATAGAGGTGAAAACAGAGACTCTGGATACTGTGAGATAGCGTCTGTAGAAACACGGCTAGTTCTCTAGAATGAGAAATGCAATCTTAATTGAAAAGCCATTTACGGAAACAGTTGTGGACCCAAATGATTTCAAAAAAACATTTTAAACCCTTACTTGATTCAAAAGATTGATTAAGTACATGCAAAGCATCTATAAAAGCATACTGGAGGGAAAGCCTGTTTATATCCATTTGATTACTGTAAGTTATTTACTTGTTTTTACATACTTATGTTTTAATTATTATGAATAATTCACAAGCATCAACTTCCACTGCTAATGATGATAATAATCTTATTTTATTTTTAGATGAAAAAGTTGTTTAGTTTTTATTTAAACTAGATGAAAAATCTGATGATATATTTTCTGTTGGTAAAGAAAAAATTGAAGAAATATATAGAGATATAGATTATAGTTGCAAAAATAATATAGGATTTGATTCTGTAAGAACTTATAGAGAAATAAGAAAGGTAAAAGATATTATAACTAAATATAGAAATATACAAGAAGAAATTTCAGAAGGATTAATTCGAGGATATATAACTAAGAAAGGTCAGCCTATAATCTTTGATAAATTATCAAGATACAAAGAATATTTAAAGGTATTTGAAAGGATGAAAAATATAGATATAGGTTTTGATTGATAAATCCTTAAAGATATATATATCTTGCAAATAACTATAGGAAGGGCAAAATAGTATTTTTAACAGAAGACTGTCTTGATCAGGTAATTTACTTGCTTAAAAAATTCTTTTACTTCATCAGGTCATGTTGCTAAAGAGATTTCATTTAGTTGCAGATGTGTGTGATTGATATCTTCGTTTCCCCTATTTTTCCCTCCAGGCTTTTGTTCTTGATTCTCAATACTGTTAGATCGGTTGGTTGGTTTACTAGAAATCGGATCCGTGATCAAATTTTTCTTGGGTTTATAGATTTTTTTTTTTGAATTTTACTAGTTAAAAGTCTGTTGCATTTTTGGAAAGAGGTCTTGGGGTTTATGGCATAATTCAGAACCCAAGCAACTAGGGTTTCCGGGGAAATTGTGGATTGCCTTTTTAAGTATTCACAAATGTTTCGCATTTTATTTGTTTCTACCATGCTGTGATCTTCTTGGATTTTGCTTGAAGCTAATGAATCTGTAGATGCTATTGATATGCTTAGTTTGACATTTTAGTTCGTGGTGGTTTCATAGATTGCTCTGTTGCTTAGCAATTCGGGGTTAACCATTCTTTTTAGTTAAATAGATTTCCACGTACTGTCAAGATTATTTTTCCCAAATTTCCCTGGTGAACAGCTTTATGGAAATTTAATATTTCAACCAGAAATTTACACTTTTTTGTTGTATGACTTTTGTGCTTTTAGTTCAGTTCAGCTCAATTCATATGATGCTGCATAGTTTCCAGAGTTTATGCCCCATTTTCTTTTAAAAAGTTGAATATTGTTAGGTCTCCTTTCTACTCCGTGTTCTTTTTTTTTTTTTTTTTTTTCCTTGTGGCGAAATAATTAACAAAACTTACTAGTTACTTTGACATATATGATTGTTTGCTTTTATATAGGAATGACCATGCAAACCACTATGCCCTCAGTTCCTAGTGCTCAAGTGGTTGGGAATGCTTTTGTTGAGCAGTACTACCATATTCTTCATCACTCTCCTGAGATGGTTCATCGGTTTTACCTGGACACAAGTGCATTAAGTCGCCCAGAGTCTGATGGTGTCTTGACGACTGTTACTACTATGAAAGTAAGTTCTGAGAATAAGTGCATGTTTGAGAAGTGATTAATTTCTGGTCAAACATATTTTTTATGCGCACGTTTTGTAGCTATTACCTACTTATTATCTACAGTAGGACCTGCATCTTATGATAAACATAATATATGTGGAGATATTCTGCATTTGTAAAAATATTTGTCTGCATTGTTCATCCCTGTACTTCATCTAGAAGTTCGAACACGGGTACAGGTGGGTGCATCCTGATGACCGGAATGCTTCAGACTATGGGTTTTACTAAAGTAAGAACACCACTACGTTCACTTGGATGACAGGAATATTACAGAGGGAAACATAAAAATGAATGAAACGTAAGTAAAATGAAAAGAGAATTTTCCCTGACTGCTTGTTTGAATGGAAATTCTTCTTAGTAATTGAAAGAACGGGTAGGAGAGCGGGAGTGAATAAATATAAATTACTGGAAGTTTCCCACACAGTCCATTACTTTCGCTAAAAATCAAGATCCAGGGCATGCTAGAAAAATTTTCTTGCAAGATTGTATTTCCCTTGATCTTCCTCATTGCTAGAAACATAAGAAATAACCACACCAGTTTCTCCATCATACAGTTTCTTGTATCATATCTTAGTCATCCTCTCTCTTTAACTATAAACTATTAAGATTTATTCAGATTCTACATCTTTCCCATGATTTTGTCAAAGAATCAAGTCTATAACTACTTGGCTTAATTAAACATTTGTATTTTTTAACCAAGTACTGACCAACTGTATTTGATCCCGATGACAATGCAACAATAACTAACATAAGCCTCGCTCTAATTTCATGTTGTACCAGGGTATCAATGATAAGATATGTTCCTTCGACTACAAGAACTACAAGGCAGAAATAAAGACTGCTGATGCTCAGGATTCTTACAAGGATGGAGTGATTGTGCTTGTAACTGGGTGCTTGACTGGAAAGGACAATCTGAAAAAGAAATTCACACAAACATTTTTCCTTGCTCCTCAGGACAAAGGATATTATGTTTTGAATGATGTCTTTAGGTATATTTGTGAGATTGAATCAGACACCAGTGTTGGTGAAATTATTGGAGTTGATGACACATCACAATCAAATTCCCTGACTCCGGATCCAGGTTTGCTTTATTACTAATTCACTACATATCATTTTGCTTTCTTGCCTTGGTTGGAATTTATCAGCATTTTCATTTTGTTGCAGAGCCCACTCAAGTGTTGGATCCTCCCAACCTGAACCAGGCAACTTCTCAAACAGAGGGTGTTGAAATTGTTGAGGAGAAAGCTGATGACCAAGTGAATGATGAGATGCAAGTTAGTAATGATGTTGATATTCCGGTGGTAGTTGAATCTCATTTAGAGAAGAATCACATATCCACAATTGCAGAATCAGCTATGTCATCTTCCTCCCAAGAGAATGCTCCAAAGAAGTCATATGCTTCAATTATAATTTCACAATCGAAGAAGGGGCCAACCAAAGTTTATGTGCCTGCTAATACGTTGAGAGTGGCTCCTATAATAACTGAAAAACAATCAATTAATTCAGTTGCGCCTGCTTCAAGCCCTGAACCATCAAACCTAACTGCACCTGTTAATGAGCCAGAAAGCCATGATACCGAGGATGAAGGTATTTTGACCAAGAGGGCTCATGTTAAGTTATGATCTTTGTTTATTAAGGAATTTTCTTCTTCTTCTTTTTGTTTTTTATTTTTTAATTATATGTGTACAAGAGCAAGCAGCATGCATCCTAATAATATTTATGACAAGGGAAGAAAAATAAGCTTAGAATGAAAAATGAAATTTTTGAGGTGTGCAGCAAATATTTGCTTGTTCCCTTTCTTAAGCTCTTATTCCAAAAATGTGATGTCACTTCGATTGCTTCATTATCTTGCAGTTGAGGGTCACTCCATTTATATCCGCAATTTGCCTCTATATATAACGGTTGCTCAGCTTGAGTCAGAATTCAAGAAATTTGGACCTATTAAGAAAATTGGGGTCCAAGTCAGAAGAAAGAAGGTTGGTTCTGCTGACATGTTATATCTGCATTTTGTTCTTCCTGGCTCAGCACATGTTTATATATTCCCCTTATCTCGTCTATTTGCAGCAACAAGGATTCTGTTTTGGTTTTGTTGAATTTCAAGAGTTCAGCTCCATGCAAAGGGCAATTCAGGTTTGTGTGCTTCAGATTCTTGTTTCACTTCTCGTATTTTGATTAGTTCTTAGGTTTCCTTTCCATTTTTTTTTCTGTGTGCTGAATGCTCTTAAATAAATCAAAAATCGAGCAACTTAGGGTGTGTTCTCTTTCTCGTTTTCGGCTCGTTTTCTGTTTTCGGTTTTCCAAAATGATGGAAACGTGTTCTCTTTCACGTTTTCGAAAATGAAGTTTTGAAAAAAAAAAAAATTGCACTAAAAACTGAAAATTTTAAAAATGACGTTTTGAGTGTTTTATGTAGAAAACACGGGTTAGATGGAAAACACGAGAAACAACCGAAATTCTAAACCATCCCTTACCTCTCTCTCTCACACTCTCACTGCCGTCTCTCTTTCTTTCCTGCAACTCTTCTCGCCTCTCCAGCAGTAGGGTTTTCTGTGCTCCTCCACCAGCCTCAGTGAAGTCTTCAACTTCGACGATTTCCTATTCTCCTCGGTTCGCCTCCTCAGATCGACCGGTTTATTGCGTGAAGAGGTGTAAATTTCTGTAAAAATTTCATCGATTCTATTCACATTTCTTCCATTTTTCAACTAATTATACGTCTTCATTGCTTAATTTTCAGCTCATGTTGCTATATATTTCGTTGAAATGTTTCGTTACAGTTGAAAAATTGACATGGGTAGCGATGATTATACTAATTCCTCCTATTGATCGTGAAAAATCATTTTACACCCACAGAATATGAACTTCCACCATCTATGAGTATTTGTTTTCATCTATTTTTTTTTAGTTTAATATCCAATTTTGGAAGCTGTGAGGGGTAGATCTCGACTAGTGTATTCTATGTTGCTAAAAAATAAATGTTAACTGTAGCCAAATGTGTGAATAAACGTAGAAATTGCTTCAAATCTTGAAAGGAGTTTGTAATTGAATTGAATGAGTTGGAGCAATTGTGATGTTGGTCATTTTGGATTTTTCATTTTCAGGGATATTTTTTTTTTTTTTGGCAACTAATTTGAATGAGAGTGGTTGAATGTGCTTGTGACTGTCGTCGGCTTGCTTCTCTTCAATTCTGTGATGAATTTTATTTTCAATATGTATGTGTTTTCGGATATGTATTATCCTTGATCCCTCGTGGGTACAGATTGGAGATTTCTCGAGAGTTTAAGGGATGATTCTTTTTCTATGTGTACATATTTGTGTAAGAATATGTTCGTCCTTATCTTTTATACGGTACATATATTTATGAAAGAATATGTTCGTCCTTATTTTTTATCTTATCAATTTTATATTGTTTTCTTCAACACGCTAACAATGTGGTTTCTTTTTCCAATGTTAGATTAATAAGTCGGATTACAAGTTGTTCAAGAGGGAAGGATGTAAGCACTACCACACTCTTGGGGAGATATTCAGCGGGACTACAGCTATTGAAGCATTAGGCAGTGCCTCCACCCAGCTTCTAAACACATCAGAGGAAGAAAGGCAGCTAGAAGATGATTTTTTGAATAGAGGAGTACATGTGACTGCGGAAAATGATGATGAAGTCAATGTGGTTTCAAATACTCGTCCACATAACAAAATTGGTACATCGGGTGAACAACGACGTAAGGAACCTAAGGTCAGTAAAAGTGATAAACTCAAGGCCTGTATGGCTCAGTGGTCATCTACAGTTAGTTTGAGGAATGAAGAAACTGAACCTAGAACACTTTACCTAAAAGAGAAGTTTGCAAAGATCCAAGGAAAAGGTAGTTGTCAATCAGATAATGAAGTTACTAGTCCAGATCCTTATTCAAATGTTACTTGCTTGGACATTTTAAACAATATGGAAGGGGTGTCCAATGAGGTTTACATGAAAGCAATAAAGGCTTTTAAGGATCCCGATTTCAGGGTGTCATTTGTGAAGATGCCGGTAGCAAGGAGAGGATCTATCTTGGAACTACTTTGATGTGACTGTTGTTTTAATATGTGATTATTGTTACGTTGAAGTACCATGTTAAACTCGAGGCTTGAAGTACGCTTTTTTTCCCCCATTTTGTGGTGATGTTGTACTGTTTTAATTTACAAACATTGTGATGTTGTTGGTTGGAGAACTGATGTTGATTTGTCCTCACTTTTTTAATGTTTGATTGCTTGTTTTATTGAATTAATGGTGGTTGATATGACTTATGATAATTAATTTGGTTATATTTTGTTCACAGTATGGCTAGTGAATCAAATGTGGATGATAATGTGCATGTTGATGAATCCATTAATGAAGAATTGAGAGATGATGAGTTGTTATATATGGATGATTTTGACGCAAATTTTGGAGAGTTAATGGTGTGTAATTACTTTGTTGCCAACAAGGGAAGTATCATTGGCAGGACACTTGTAGAACATTATTGCTTACAGGGAAAATGTACATTCTAGAAATTTTGAATAGACATCCGGAAGTATGCTATCGTAATTTTCGTATGCAGAAACACATTTTCATGAATTTATGTGATATTTTAAAAGAGAAAGGGTTACTGAAAGATGGGAAAAAAGTGAGCGTCGAGAAAGGTGTGACTATGTTTATAATGATTGTAGGGCACACCACACGATATAGTGTTATTCGTGATAGGTTCCAACATTCCAACAACACGATACACAAATGGTTTAAACGAGTTGTTATGGCTGTTATCTCATTTGGCACTGAGATAATTCGTTCGACAAATCAAGACATTGTGCATGAGCGGATTTTGCGCAAATATCATTTCTTTAAGAATTGTATAGGCGCAATAGATGGAACACATATTGCAGCTTGGGCTCCTACATCAAGACAAACATCATTTCGAGGAAGGAAAACAAATGTAACACAAAATGTGATGTTGACATGTGATTTTGATATGAAATTCACATTTGTGTATTGTATTCACATTTGTGTATTTCACATTTGATATGAAATTCACATTTGTGCATGAACAGATTTTGCGCAAATATCCTTTCTATAAGGATTGTATAGGCGCAATGGATGGAACGCATGTTGCAGCTTGGACTCCTGCATCAAGACAAACATCTTTTCAAGGAAGGAAAACAAATGTAACACAAAATCTGACGTTGACATGTGATTTTGATATGAAATTCACATTTGTGTATTGTGGTTGGGAAGATACTGCTAATGATTCGCGAGTATTCTTTGATGCAGTCACAAGAAGCTCGAACAACTTTCCAATGCCACGAGGAGATACATTCGTATACGTCAAATAATTATTGCGAATTTTTTTATAGCGTTACACTGTATAAGCCTTTTTTTTTCAGATCAATTTTACCTTGTTGATTCTGGATATCCAAACATATCAAGATTTCTTGCCCCCTATTGAGGTCATAGATATCATCTGCGTAACTATGTTGGACGGAGAAAGCTACGTGGAAAGGAAGAATTGTTCAATTATGGACACTCTTCATGCCGTAACATTATTGAACTTTGCATTGGAGTTTTAAAAACAAGATTTCCTATTTTCAAGTTGATTACCAATTATCCACTTAGTAGGCAAAGACAAATTCATACTGCATGTTGCGCAGTAAACAACTTTATATGTCAGGAGTACGCTTTAGATAAGTTGTTCGTACAGTATTCAGAGGAGAATATGGTGTTTCAAGACATGCCGGAGTCAATTCAAGATAAAAAAAAGTAATACATTTTGATGCTAGTCAAACAGCTCAAATGGGATAAGTCAGGGATCAAATTACTACACAAATGTAGAATGACTACTCAAAACGTCGTACATGATAGTTTGGATGTACTTTATATTTTGTTTAGTGCCTGCTGGTCATGGTACGTAAACTTATAATAGTATCTAGTGAACTGTGTTGCCAAAAAATATTTTAAGATTCACCAATTTCAAAATTTATATATTATTTATTACTACATTTACATCAAACTATTAAATTGTATTGAATAATCATATTTCTTAAATAAAATATTGTAAAAAAAAATCTCAAAATTTCAAAGTAAACACGTTTTTCAATTTTATGTTTTGAAAAACAGTTTTTCGGAATGACAAAGAGAACGTATTTTCAACAATTTCAGATGTATGCATGTATTCACGTAGGTCTGGTCCAGACTTGCAAGCATTCTTAGTGGCTATTTTCACGTATTGCACATAAAATATACGTTAAACTTCTTTTCTCCTGGTGACTCCATGTTATGATTTGAGAAATTTGGTTACATCTTATGGCAGACATGTATCCAAGCTGATCGTTGTTGCATTTTAAACTGCCTTTAAGAATTAAAGTGAGGTGAAACTACAAAGTAGTTTGAACCAAAAGTTTTAAAAAATTGTTGTCAATTATGAGTTAAATGTTCCAACATCCACACACGTATTGGTTGGGTCGGTCAGAGGCCCAGAAAGGAGTGTATTCCTTAAATGTCTTCTGCTTCAAGCGTTAAATGCTTTCGTTTTGGCTTCTAATCTTTCACTATTTTAATTTCATGGCTCTGTTGTTTTAGCATGTATAATGTGGATAATTTTCCTACTTCAGAGAACTTATTGTCTAGTACTTTGAAGAATTATGCCTCTGTTTATTTGCATCAATGATAAGACAATTGAGGCTTCACCCATAATTATTGACGATCTTCAAGCTGTTGTCGAAATAAAGAGGACTACTACTCCTCGAGGTAAGTTAAAGTATATTTAGTTTTCGATTTCTGATTCAATAAGTATTCTGTATAGAAGAGCATTCTTTAGAATATACTTCCAGGACACGCATATTCACCCAATATGATATAGATGATGTTTCTGTTAGAGTTGGTAGTGGAAGGGGCCATTTTACTTATGCTCGTGGTGGCTTTCGAAACAAATTTTAAGTGGCAATTACATAAACCCATAGTTTATCTATTCATATTTCCCAAATAAGAGTGGAAGTTTAATATTTCACTAATCGGATTTTTTTTTTTCATTTCCTAATTAATTTAAAATTATTTAATAACTATCTCTCCCTAAACTCACGTAATTCAAATTTTAGAAACTGTATTTTCTTTAAAAACTCCTTGCACGTCCTTTCCATAAAACCGTCATTTCCATATAAACCCACGTCCCTCACGTATCCCATTTTTCGATTAAATCGGTGTTCATCCAAACCGTGTTCATCACTGTCGGTGTTCTTCGGCGATTCCCCGAACAACTTCTTCCACTGTCGGTCACATATTTTTTACATTCCTTCCCAAAGCAGTGGTCACAGTTTAACTGAAGTATTCTAAAACTTCAACGATGACTCGTTCAGGCAGTGGGAAACGTGGGGAGAAAACTGGAATCCACGAGTCAGGAAGAAGAGGTAAAATGAAGTTGGATGAAGTGCAAAAGGAATCATCCTCTAAAAGACAAAAATCCAGATGTTCTGTCGCAAAACAGTCGTTGAAGAAGGTGGTTTTTGATATTTTTCAATTGTTCACTTATTTCGAGCATACCTATCTTCATTTTAATCGATGGGTAATTTGTATTGATGAAGTATTTTTGAATTTGTGATGTATGTTGTGTGGATTTGTAATCGAAATGCCTTATTGTAGTAAGGGTTTTTAATTTTTTTTCAAAAATGGTTGTTCATTTGTGAATTATGGAACGCTATTGTGTCGTTCTGTATGTGTGTTGTTGATTTATTTTTTGGTGGAGGGGATCTGTGACCTATATGTTGATGTTTGGGTCTACCTGGATTTTCACCTGCGACCAAACTGATGAGTTTTATTGTGGTCGTTGTTGCAGGCCTGGAGATACATTATACCCGAGAAGAGTTGGTTTCCGGGTAAAATTATAATTACCCTCGTCAAAGGTGTGGTGTCGAACTTCAAAAACAATCTCAATGAAGCCCAACGTCGAATCCTTCAGAATACGTGTTTCGCTCACTTCCTGCAATGCGAGGAAATTGTTATCCAATCTCAGCTGATACACTACTTACTGCTGAGACAAGTGCAACAACCTAATGAGAGTGAGTTGTGGTTCAACATAGCTGGAAGATTCGTACAGTTCTCAATTTCAGAATTTTGTTTGGTGACTGGTCTGAGATACGTCGGGGATGATGACATAAGTAGGATGGAGAAGACTCCATCACGATTGAAAAATTTGTATTTTTCAACGTTGAAAAATGTTACTCATGAAAATGTCAAGGACGCATTTTTTGGTTCTACTGACATTCTGGATGAGGATGTTTCCATGCTAGGTGCATTGTATTTTATAATGTCTTATCTACATCCGAGAGATTACAAGAAAGCTGTGGATCACTTCTTATTTGTACTAGTTGAAGATTTTAGTGCGATGAATGTGGTTCCATGGGGTAAGTCGCTGTTCGACAAACTAGTAAATTCATTGAGGGAGGGGTTGAGTAAGAGATCAACACATTACAGACTCAGAGGCTTGCTTGTAGCCTTTCAAGTGTGGATTTACGAGATAATTCCCAGTCTCGATGGATACATGGTGAGAAGGATTTCCAGAGTGTACCCCAGGATAATGAACTGGACGGCTGATGATTACCCTTCGGCTGTGAAGCTTGAGGGGCCTGAATGCTTCTCCAATCTGGACGTAAGTGACCACCGATGCAGCAGTACTGGTTTCAAAATATTAAACTGGCACATTTTTTCATGTTCCAGATCATATTTCTTAGGTCACAAATATATTTCGTCAAGTCACAAATTGCATTCTCGAAGTCACAGATTTATTCATTATGTCACAGATCATTTCATACTAGGTCACAGACATTTTCACAGTGCCAGCCCTTGTTATATCACAATTAATGGAAACAAATTGAATATGTGTGATGTGCAAAACTATATCTGTTTGTTCATACATAATTTTTGGTTGTTGACATTGCACTTTTTGTTGTGAGATGAATGTCAATTGGAAATATGTGACCTGGACCCCCCACCAGCTGAAATGGCAATGCCATACATGAGTCAGGTGCAGTATGAGAAACCTATCCTACCCGATCGGTCTCATGGGGAGAAGAGAACGGGTGGTAGCATACACCGATCAGATCATCGTGCTGGGACTAGTACAAAACCAAGTAATTCAGGAATAAAACAATCTACTCCCATGCTTTTGATAACTGATGGATGATTGGGACACTCTGATCTCCCCATTGATGATGATGACTTTGTTGACGCACCACCCAGTTGGAAGGGGACATCAATCCATGA